TCGCGTTTCGATCTCTACCAAAATTTTTTTTTTTTCCTTCGGTCCAACCAAACACAAACACGTGTCCTCGACACAGTAAATGACCCCGGTTCAACAAGCTCAGTACACAGACCCGTTTCATCCGTTTTTCACCAGAAAAAATCATTTTTATTCAAACAAAGTTAAAGACACCCACATTATTTCACCGTTAACGGTGCTCTAATATATAGAGTTCGAAAACCCTCGGGAAATTATTCTGAACCAAACCATCCGAACCGAGCGGAATCATGTTAATTTGGTTCTTTAACCTACTTTAAAAATGAAACAAATTGGTTTGACCAACAAAACCAACGCTCTTCTTTTCTCTACATTATGTGGTTGTATATGTTTAAGGTTTTAAAAGTAGCTACTCATCTCTATAAAAAAAAACGAGTGAAATAAATTCCATCGGTTTAATTGAGAAGCATTTTTTCAATTGAACCGAGTACAATCAGATACTAACTGTACCGGTCAAAGCCAATAAGAGCGTGTGTAAAAAAAGCCTCGCTGGTTAAGTTGTTAGAAGCAGAATCTAAAGTTTATAGAGGGAAAACAAAGAGAGATTTGGCCAAATGAAGAAAGAATAACTTTGGCTTGAGAAAAGAGTAACAAAAGGAAGGTAAAAATGCTAAAAGTTTGAAATTTGTTCCCAAAGAGGCAAAGAACATTTCTTCACCAACAATCAATACCTAAACCTCTCAAGGATTTTTCCTATATATATATGGCTCCAATCTTTCCTCTCTTCTTTTTCTCTTGTTAACCTAAACCCGAAACGCGTTATCACAAAAACAAAAAAAATGGGCATCACCAAGTTTCTCACCGCTTTTCCTTTACTTGTGATGCTTATGTTCGGTAACACTTTTTCCTCCGAAACCACAATCTTCAAGCCATACAAAGATGAAAACTTTGGTTCTTTGGTCGCGAAAGCGTGCCAATTCATCGATGCTCACGAGGCGTGTGTCTCTAACATCCGGACGCATATTAAGGAATCCGGTCACGGGTTCAACCCGCATTCGGTTTTAAGTGCCGCGGTAAAGGAAGCACACGACAAAGCCAAACTAGCTATGGAAGGAATCCCAACGGTGACGACGTTATCTTTCCGTTCCCGCGAACAAATTGCAATAGAGGATTGCAAAGAGCTTGTAGGATTCTCGGTGACAGAGCTAGCATGGTCCATGCTGGAAATGAACCAACTCCACGGAGGAGGAGGAATAGATGGTGATTCTCACGACGCTGCTGCAGCAGGAGGCAATCTTAAGACATGGCTAAGCGCAGCGATGAGTAACCAAGATACTTGTCTCGAAGGTTTTGAAGGAACAGAGAAAAAGTACGAGGAATTGATCAAAGGTAGCTTAAGACAAGTTACTCAGCTCGTGAGCAATGTCCTAGAAATGTATACACAACTAAATGCCTTGCCTTTCAAGGCATCTAGGAACGAGAGCTCCATAACGAGCCCTGAGTGGCTCACGGAGCGTGATGAGAGCCTCATGAAGCACGTCAACCCCAGCGCGATGCTCCCAGACGTGGTCGTGGCGCAAGATGGAAAAGGGAAGTATAGGACGATTAATGAGGCCATCAACGAGGCTCCTAACCATAGCACAAAGAGATATGTTATATACGTTAAGAAAGGTTTGTATAGAGAAAATATTGATTTGAAGAAGAAGAAAACGAACATAATGCTTGTCGGTGACGGTATTGGACAGACGATCATTACCGGTGACCGAAATTTCTTGCAGGGTCTTACCACTTTCCGAACTGCAACCGTTGGTTAGT